TCTGATTGTCAAGTATAGCCAGTTAATGATAGATCCAACCAATCAAACATTTTATATTAAATGTCTACCGTACACAATGATGACATACTAAAATCCTGTAGGTGATCCTGGCCCTTAAGATGCTTATAATCTGTGAGGATAAAGCTAATGCATAGGAAGGAAGCATGTAGAGAATGTAAAGGTTCTGATTTTCAAAGCCTAGGAAACGAGTATTCATTGAGCAACTAGTACTACCTTCTCAAAACAAACAAACAAAAAAAACCAAACTGCCATCAAGTTGATTCTGACTCATAACTATCTCCATTGGGTTTCCAAAGCTGTGAATCTTTACAGAGGCAGACTACCTCATCTTTCTTCCACAGAGCATCTGGTGGATTCAAACCACCAACCTTCTGGTTAGCAGCTAAATGCCTTAACCACTGCACCACAGCTCCTTACTACTACATTCTAGATACTTTAAATGTTTAAATGCAGCACTTCATTCAGTTGTTCAGAAATATGAGGCTGGTGCGTTTTTTAAAACAAACAAACAAAAGGAACCTCAGAGAGATTAGGTAACTTGTGCTCAAGGTCACCAGCCAGTAAAGTGGAAATTTGGGCCTTGCTTTGTGTGATTCCAAAGCTTCCGTTCTTTTAAGAAATAGTCTGAGTGGGCTGAAATAGCCAGGGGAGGCTTCCTGAAGGAGGCAGGAATTCACCTAGCTTTTGAAGGATGGGTAGGATGCAGTTCACCCCAAGGAAGCAGAGGAGAACATTCCAGGAGGACTGAAGAGTCTGAGCCAAGCACAGAGGCATGACTATGAGGTCAGCTTGCAGGTGGACTTGCTGGATGGGAGCAGAGGTTTCACAGACACGCAAAGGAGATTAAGTCAAGGAGGCAAGGTGGGGCCAAATGACAGCAAGCATCAGCTTTCCTCCTCCAGGAGGAAGACACTGCCTGTTGGCCTGTCCATTCTTCTAACAAAACACCCACCCTCAAAGCCAGGTCATCCACTTCAGAGAGCAACTCCCGACTTCTCATTCCCATCTAATTCTTCTACTCTATGTTGTCTCTCCTGCCATACTCCCCAGACTCTGAGAAGGCCATCTCTCTTCTCCAGAACTTACCAACTATCACAGCTTCCACTGGCCTCCCAACATATTGTGCTTTTTTCAAGCACGTTAACATTCCTCTGTGAAGCTTTCATTTTCTCTTTCAGTTTTAACCTTTTTCCAAAACAAGGCCTAAATCTTTTTCTAATTATGAGTCAGTCCGAAAGTGCCTACAGGTATTTGGGTATTTACCTATAGGCATGATGTGTATTTACATGTAAGTTCTGAATTTGGGACAATAAGGTCACAGTCTCCATGATTAATATTTCTGGAAGCCTTCAATTTCAGATTCATAGGGATTCAACATCTGTTGATCCTCCAGGGATTGCACCTGCACTATCTCCCAAGATGGAAATTTTCCTTGTTTTCCCAGGGAATCCCTTGTCTCGCACAAAACAGCCAGTGAAAACTGGGTGACTTAATCTGAGCCCCCTACCCCCAAGAAAACTCACCCTTTTCTACCGGAAATAATTCAGGACTGTGGCCAAAACTTGGTGAGCACTCCTCATACGGAAACGAGGCAATGAAAAGCAGTTCTGGCTACAATGGAAAATAAGGCAAGCTCCTGCCAAGTAAGTACTCTGCAAACAACAGTAAAAATGGAACGTGTGAACTCGTGACTAGGGTCTATCGGTGCATCTCGGGAAGGTCTTACAGAACCCGAAATGGAGACTCGAGGACAGTCACCCGTCTCCCAGGAGAAGAGCGCCCCTTTAAGAAAAGAATGGACCAGCTGGCCGCATTACAGCTCCCAGAGATTTCCTGGCTTGCCTCCTGGCCCCACCCCCGGGCTTTCGGCCTCAGCAACGCGTGACGTCATAGGAGGCTGAAGCTGTCGATTGGCTGAACCACGCAGCTAGGTCAAGTCCAGTCAGAGGAAAGAAGTTTGTCTCCATGTGGAAACCATGTGTTTCTAACAGGGAGGGGGAAGAGGAGGAGGCGGAGAAACTGAGATCAAGTGATTAGAGGGGAACTGGCTGAAATGAAGGCGGGGAGGTTGTGCACCTGAGCCAGCCAGCAATGCCCTTTGCAGTAGTGACCTAAAAAACGTGCACAGTAAACAAAACCTGAGGTGCCCTCCCTAATAATAATAATAATAAGAAGAAAGCTAGGGTATTTGCTTTCTTCCAAAAACCAGGAACCTGGGCAACGTTGGAATCCTTTCGGAACGCCCAGCTCCCTCTCCCTCCCCCAACCACTGAATGATGTCAGCGTTTCGGAAAGCGGGGCTCTGGAGCAAAACAAGCCCCGCGCGCGCGGAGCGACCCGCAGTGCCCGAGCCCGGCGCACGCACGACCCGCCCCCCGACTCGCGTTATTGCTGTGCACACGCGGGCTGCCGTGACGCGCGGGCATTGTGTGCGAGGAGCAGAAAACAACGGCGAGCGCCGCCAGCCCGCGCCAGAAGCGCCCCCAATGAAACCAGACAGCTGTAGGGCCCGCATTCCCTTCCTGAAGATCCACAACCAGGAGGGAGGCAAAAAGTGGGGAGACGAAATTGGTGGGCTGCTCCTGTTTGCGGGGGTTGGGGGACTCAGGGAAGGCCGGGCGATGGTCTCAAGGAGTTTGCTGGAGAGCACCCCCCCCCCGAATGCCCAAGGTGTTGGGGAGATGGCGAGGGCCTGGAGTGGGGTCCCTCGGCCGAACGGGGCACGGCGCAGCGCCCCACGCGCTCGGGAAAATCTGGGGGCCGTTGGCATCACGTCATGCAGAGCCAAACAGCGGCTGCGAAAAGAGGCGAGAGAGCTAAAAATACTCCCGCGGGGAGCCGGCTGCGGGAGGGGGCTGAGGGCTGATTGCGCACACGAAGTTGACTTTGGCTGGGGCGCTGGGGCGCCAGGGCCCCTCTGGGGGCTGACGGGCTTGCGGCGCGCACGCCCCGGGAGAGGGGCCGCGAGGAAGCCCCTCGACTTCCCCGGCCCCGGGAACCCCGCTCCGCGGCCGCGGGCCCGCCCCGTGCGGGGCAGCCCGGGCCGGCGCGCCGGGCCCTCTGCTTACGTGACTGGTGGCCACGCCGGAGCCCCGGCACGGGGTAAACAAGGAGGCGGCGGCGGCCGGGGGGAGGGGGGTGGAGATCTCCGATTGTCTGCGGGACGCGGAGGAAGCCCGGGCCGCTCCCTCCGTACCTCGGGGCGTGATGGGGGGGGCGGGCCCAGCTCGCCACACACTGCCAAGGTGCCCTCTTAGGTGCACCCCCCGCCAAAGCCGGCACCATGGGATAGACTCCGGAGAACCGGGACCGAGTGAAGGGGGGGTGGCTAAAGAAATCGCGCCCCTCCCCCCGCCAACAAAAGCAAACACCAAACAAAACCCGGTCCTCACCCAGCTTTTCAGAAACTACGGTCCGGACGAATGCACACCCCCCCACACCATGAATAATCGCACAACCCTTCGGCGACACAGCCCGCGATGCGCCTCGCTCGCAATCCAGGCACTCCGGGAAAACAGGCGGAAAGAGAAAGAAAAGAACACACCGCCTACAGCCCAGCACAAATGCTTGTTTTTGCTTTCCAGAGCTTGCACGATTGCCTGCACTCGGTTACTTTAATCCTGGAGGCCGGGGGTGTCGGTCAGCGAAGGTGTTTTTGTAGGTTTTCAGGTTGTGGTGGTGGTTGTGTGTCGGGGAGGGTGGATTTTTGCAAGATCTGACACGTTGCAATCGGACCATTTTTTTCTCTCTGGTCTCACTGAGCTTCCTACTTGTTCGAGCAGACTAAAACCGCCCGCGTCTCTCCTATCTGTCGGTCTGTCTGCCTTGGCCCCTTCCCCCTCCTCGCAGCTATTATTGTGAGGGTCGTGCTGGAGCCGCCACACGCGTGCCCCCGTTAGGGCGCTGAGTTGACTGCCAGCGGAGGGCTGGGGGACCCGGCTGGCAGGAGGGGGAAAAACACACACACACACACACAAAAAGGAGGCCAGGCCGGGGTGGGGCTCCCAGCCTCCGCGCCCCGCGCCAGCATCGCTCTCCACTTGCATTGGGGGCGAGGGGGTGGCGGCAGAAATCCACCAGGAAGGTTTGCCTTCCACGCCCTGCACGCCCACTCGGGAACCGTCTCCCGGAAAATAAAGAAACTGCACACAACTGCCCACACCTTTTCCACCAACTATTGTTTGCAGCGAGATCCCAAAGTTTCCTTCCAGCCGTGTCCCCCCTCTCCAAGTTTCCTGAGCGCAGGACAGTGGGTCCCAGTTGAGCTGCTGGCGCTGCCTGGCCTCGCTGGCCTGATCCTTTTTTTTTTTCGGGGGGGGGGGTTGGCACCCCAGGGCATCTGAGGCGTGGAGGGACTGGGTGCGTGGACACGATGGCCTGAGCTCAGTTATGCTCCACGAGGGGAGGAAAAAGCGAAGTAGACAGGCGCGAGAGACAGAGCCCGAGCTAGCCAGAGCCCACGCCGTGCAGGGCTTTGTGGTTGTTGTTGTTATTGTTATAGTACGTGTGTATCTGTTTTTCTTTCTGCCACCGCCGAGCTCTGCCCACGATTCCCAACTTTCGGCTTCCGAATCCCCACCCCACCCAGGAGCAAGCGACAGAAAAACAACACTTGTCTGCCCGAGAAAGCTCCGGAAAAAAAGGAAGAAAGGCGACCTCGAAGAGATGAGCTCTGGGCTCAGTTGTCAGCAAACAACACTCCCCTGCCTTCTGGGCCGGGCTGTCCTCGCAGCGCCCGGGAGACGGACAGACGGACGCCCGGACAGACCCCCTCTCCCCCCCGCTCGCTCGTCTTTGTTACATCTTTAGCAGCTTTGTGCGTGCGTGTCCTTTCTCCGATGTCATCGGCTTTACTGCCCAGGGCTGGCTGTGTGTGTGCTCGGGGAGGAGGTGCGGGCCACGCAGGCGACAGGGGTCGCCCGAGTGGGCGAGGAAGAAAGAGCCGGGCGCTGAGGAGCAGCCGGGGCCCCCAAACTTACTTTTGTTTTCTTTCTCGATCTGCTCCAGGTAGCTGGCGGCCTCGAGTAGAATCTGCACGTTCTGCAGAAAAGTGTTCATGTGCTTCTCCATCGAGTTCTCGCTGGTGTTAAAGATGTCCGAGAAGGGGCACCTGGGCTTGGCCCAGGCGGGCTCCTCGAGCTGCGCCGGGGTCTGGGGCGCGGCCGCG